TATATATATATATATATATCCCTCTTTATCATGTTTAAATTATGGTTTTATTATTTAATAGTTAATACTACCTCCGGGCTCCGTCCACATAGCAATGTACAAGAAAAGGTTGTGCAGTTATAAAAAATAGTGAGTTTATGTGGTTAATACCGAATTGATAAAACGAGAGTAAAGTTAAAATGATCTGGAAGATTAGCACCATAAAAATGTTACCAAATGTGAGAAATCTTAGTGGACAGACCAAAAAGGAAAGATGAACAATTTTACGGGATGGAGAGGGTATCTCTTTATTGTTATTTCTAAATATCTAAATTTTGGTCATTTATAGGCTTGAATATTTTTTAAGTATCACAACTCTTGGTTTGCCATGAATTGAGCAAGTTGTATTTCTTCCTTGATGTGTCGTTGCATTAACCTATAAGAGTTGGGATATTTTAATTTCCATTGTTTCCCATGTGGTTAGGTTTTTCGGTATCAAATTATCTATGAAAAAACATGGGAAAATAAATTGCATTAAAACAAATCCAAAAATTTCATGGTGAAGAGGGTTAGATTTACAATTTACCAAAATAAGCTTTCATCAAGCAGAACAAGTTTCAAGCATAAACTGGATTAACTATCCTCTTACATTTATCTCATTTTTAATTTTTTATGTAAACTTAATTACCTATAGAGTATAGACTTACTAAAAGAAGAGTTTTGGAATTGCATAAGGTATTCTGTTTTGGATTTAAAATTTTGAGCAGGATTTCGATGGGACAGACAATGGATGGTTGTGAATTCAAAAGGTCGAGCCATTACCCAAAGAGTTGAACCAAAGCTAGCTCTAATTGAAACTGAGTTACCAAATGAGGCACTATCTGAGGGCTGGGAACCAAATAAGAACTCATATCTTGGTAAGGAAGTAATACATTATTCTTAATGCCCCCAGTTGCCAGTTTATGGAACTGAAATACTTCAGGAGTGACCGAAGTGAGCCATAAAACGGATCCAACCTATTAAGTATTAACTAATTACCCGAAGTCTTATTAACCTATTATTTTTTCTTTACTTGTCTGACATAGGACCTAACCTATGTTGCACGGAAACGTGAAAACATGAAACATGAAAGTGATGAAACATCATTATCTAATAGAAAAGCAAGTGTTCAGAGAGTTCCTGAGAGTTTCAGTACTTCACAGGACTCAACTGAAACCCCTTTTATCACCATATGATTTGGTAGACACTGACCTTTTAACAACTTAAACTAACTAACTGGATTCACTTGTGCAGTAATTAGGGCCCCTGGTATGGATGCACTGGAAGTTCCATTATCAATGAAGCCTTGTCCTCAGACAATAGCAGAGGCCATTACAGTGTGGGAATGGTCTGGCTCTGGACTTGATGAGGGTGAAGAAGCATCGCAGTGGTTCTCCAACTATCTCGGGAAACCCGCTCGCCTAGTGCGCTTTAATGAAGGTTAATTACTAAGTAATTAAGGGTCACTTATCTTCATTTGAATAACTAAATATGTACTTTTGTGCTTTTTTATTCAAATATCAGTTGATTCAGCTAATGTAGTAAAAAAAGTTAAATTTTGGTCTGAGTTCTTCCTGCATTGCGCAGTCTCCGAAACAAGACCCGTGGACCCGAACTATGGCAATGGATACAAAGTTAAATTTAGTGATGGCTATCCATTCCTCATGATATCACAAGTTAGTCAAATGTATATTGGGGCATTTAATTTCAAGGAACCTATTGTCCGACTGCCCGAGTTAAGTCTCACAGAGGCTCCTTCGTGACTTATTGCAGGGGTCATTAGATGCGTTAAATGCCCTTCTCAAGGAGCCAATTCCAGTGAATCGTTTCAGACCCAAGTATGTCTTTTTTGGCTTCTTGTTTTCACTCATGTTTCTCTGTAGCAGCAGGACGGGTTGTTGTGGGTACCCAACCCACCCGAACTCCAATGGGACGGGTTGGGCATATAGTAATTGGGCATCCGGGGTTCAGGTAGGGTTTAGGTTGTATGTTAATATACATTCTCTCCAGTAATGTATTTATGTATAATAAAAGATGATGCACCTCATTCCTAAGGACCTCCAGAGTCCAGAGCAAGCTGGACTATTTGTTAAGAAGAGTTAAACTGAGCTATGATCAAAATATGGAAAATAAGATGTATTTACATATGTGCATGTATGACTGTACATCCCCAAACATATTACTGCATATAAATTTGGGTAATGAACTATTGATAGTTGTGTTAGTATCTTGCATTTCTTTTACTTAATTCTTGAATTTATAAATGAATTTTGGGCTAATTTGGATATATTATTTCATGAATTTGTAAACGGACTTTGGGTTGGGTCCCATTGGTTCTTGATTTTCAAACTATGTGAATCTACTAAAAAAAATGATGACACTCCATCCCTGAGGGTCTCCCAGAACCAACCAGGGGGAGAATGTAAATTAGCTTTTATCTCACTAATGAAAGAGAGTTGGATCCATCCCAAGTCATTTTTTTTAATTGAATCTGGGACCTCTCCCTGATTGCACTCCCTTCATACTACGTGAATCTACTAGGCACACCTTTTTTGCTGATTCATTTTCGACCAAAGGATGGTTATTTCATCATTGAACCAAGCCAAGCATTTGATGTTTTGATATTTGCTATTATCCACGCAGTATACTTGTTGAAGGATGCGAGCAATATGCTGAGGATTTATGGAAGGAGATCCTCATAAGCAAGTCCCCCTTCTATGGTGTTAAATTATGCAGTCGTTGCAAGGTATTTTTCTATTTATAATTATTTAGAACAACTATTGAGCTTCTCTGAAATGTTTCATGGCTGATTTATCAAGTTCTGAAATGTTTCAGAAGTTACTTCCATGCGTTAACGAAAATGTAATTCTCAGTATATGTTAAGATATTTGACGAATGCAAAGATACAAAACACATATAAGATCTTAGGGGACTCTTATATGTTAACTTGTTATGGTATTTCATTCCAGGTACCTACAATCAATCAAGAAACAGCAGAAGTGGGGAGTGAACCAACTGTGACATTAAAGCAGTTTCGTTCGGACAAAGTATTGCTTCCGAACAAGAAACAAAAGGGAAATGTAAACGTCTTCTCAGAAAAATGAATCCTAATCACTTCAAACAATATAACCTGTTTTTCTGCTGACTGTAATTTCTTCTTATGCAATTTTCAGGTGTATTTTGGACAGAATATGGTTTCTGCTGATTCCCTTAGCAAAGGAGGAGCAAAGCTAATAAGAGTTGGTGATCCAGTTTTTGTCATCAAAGCAATTTCATCCTGCACTGAAGCTGCAGCTTGAACTCTTCCCTTTATTGTCTTAGTTAATAAATCCCCATGGTTTATGATGTGGATCAATATGATGTATAATTCTCCCACATTATCACTGTCATAATTCTGAAATCTTATCAGAAAAATTGACAGTGGATTCAATGCAGAATAAATTCTCATGTTATTGTGTAAAGAATGTGTAGGTTCCGGTGACTAATTTCTCCTGTTCGACCCGTTTGGATCGGGCTTGGGTGAATAAATTGCATTGGAAGGATTCCAGACTGAAGCCAGACTTTGAGTTAAACTTTTCAAGGGTCTTTTGATAGATTGGTGCCTTGGTGGTATTCTGAAGGTCGGGTAAAATGAAAACAAGGCAATGAGGGAGTTTTGAAAATAAGAATAAAAACAATGTGAAATTAAATATGAATATTGTTTTTCTTCCCAAATAGGAGTAACTTATGTCATTCTAAAATAATATTGCCATACTTTTGTATTACCAATATTAATATGAAGCATTAATGCATAATTGACAGTATTTCTTAAGCATAACACTAATTACTCTTATATATAAGGGATAAAATCATAGTACTTTTATTTTAGATTTTCAATTTGTTGTTACTCATAAAATTTCTTACAAATTATTTACAAAAAATCTTACAAATATTTTTTAAGAACTAATTATCCAAATATATTACGTTGTACTTAACTTAAAAAAGGAAATTTACTAGTTACTACCATCCTCAAATATAATAATTTTGTTTAAGCAATACACAACATTTTTTGCTAAAATATTGACAAATTACACGAAAAACTAAAGTGATCAAATTAACTCTTTTTGGGACAAAAATATTTGAATTAGGGCTACTTTATAGGAAGGAATAAAACTTTTCAGTCTTATCAAAGTTCTAACCCTTATACTTGGTAGAAACATCTCAATAATGACTCTGGACTCCCCAAGTTTCGATCAACTATGAGGCATATGCAGGCAAAACAAACACGACTGTGTATTATGCACATGAACACAGTGATGATAAACACTAAGAATAAGAAGACATAAATTCGAACAATTTTGGCCAAATCATATAGAAAAAAAAATCAGAATGCCGAGCACCTAATTCTCCTCGTTATTTGGTATATTCATAAATCATATTCCTTTGGTCCAGCTAAGATTGTCCCATCTTTACTTTTCGATACATACCGCTAAAATAGTCTTATACCAAGTTTGGTAAAGTTTATATGGTTCCAAATTATTCTTACTTTATTCTTACTATATCAATTCAATATCAACCACATAAACTCATTTTTCTTGATAACTGTTCAACCTGCTCATGTCCCAATATTAGTGGGACGGAGGTAGTACGTTGGAAGGTTCCTGAAATAGGAGTAAACAAGTTTTGAAATTTCAAAATATGATTGTTATGTTTTTCTTACCAAAATAAAAATAACATGACAATATTTAGTGTCATCTTGGTGTCATTACTATCATAATACTATAATAGTTGCAATTCTAGGCACTGACAAAGCAGTATTTACTGTCATTAATAACAGCATTTTTCAATCATGCCAGTAAGTCGGTAACAATTCCTATTCTGGAAAGAAAAACATACCAGTCCTATTTTCCAAAACATGTTTACTCCTATTTAGGACAATTTCTCGTATAGTTTGTTTATGATCAAACATGCCAAAAAAAACATAAATACATAAGTCTAGACATATAAGCTACACATACATAGATACATATGAAAAGAATTACTCCCTCCTTTCACTTCTATTAAGCCCAGAGGCCCGAGGGAACTTCACAATACAAGAGCAACGTTCTAGTGGTAGTGAAATTCTGGTATATGAAAAAAATGGGAGAACGAATATCAAAAGGTAGACAAGGGACTACCAAAAAGTAAGAAGACTTGTGTTTCGATATTGTGACACTGGTCAAAATGGAAGCTGGAGCAAGTAATAACAAACTTCCACAAAAGAAAAGCGGATCAAGAAAAGTGATGGAGCATGATAATTCATTATAACTTAAACAAAAAATATTACATTTCCACAAATTACAGTTAGAGTATCTTATCTGACTAGTGTGTAATAGCTTTGAAAAGAAAGCAACTAACTTGAAACAATTGGTTGATCTCTCTCCCTCTCTCTACCAGCAAAGCTTTCCATGATATCCACGCAGTACTCTGTAAAGCTTGGGAATTGACTGTCAGAAATGAGAGGCTTGTTGAGGCTTTGGTGCTACGTATAAAGCATCTCCACAATCAATTGGTGTGTGCATAAGCGGGTTCCACCTATCAAACACCAGTCGCCCACCCCGGCCAATACGCCCACGACAGCGTGGAAAAGAACTTGTTAGTGGAGGCATAGAAATGCCTGCAGCTGCCAGTCTCTCGGGATCCAGAGGCTTTGTGAACAGCAAAACAGGTTCCCCAGGCTCCTGCAATTACCCCACTATTATAAGGAGATATATATCCATCACTACCTGTACCTAAAGGTGTGTTTGAAAAAAGAGACATAGGATGGGGAACAAATGGAGAGAAACGAATTGCATTTTCCATGGTTTGGGTAGAGCACTAGAGCATAAAAAAGGTTGGATGTATGAAACTTTTTTGTGGATCCCATACCTAAACTGTTCTCAGCTCAAATGAGAGAAAGTGCAGAAAACTTCATTGGATTGTGTTCTCCACCGATTAAAGTTGGTGACATTAACAAAATATTTTTTGCCCACAAAACCATTTTCATTTAAATTTTTCTTCCGTATTTTCACTCTTCTTCTTGAACCAAACAAGTGAACAACCTTTATTCCTCTCTAGTTCTCACCTAATTCTATTCTTTTCTATTCCTCAGTCCTAACATTTCCACCCTCTATTTCTTCTCCTAGCAAAACACACAACCTAAAATGGCCACTGCTATACCAACAGCCTTGGCCCCGGAACCATTTAGGAAGGCGGAGAATGGCTTCTAGAAGTCTTATTCAGATTTTCATGTGTTTGGCTTGCTAGGATAATGGAGTCAATGAAAAATGACCTCCATTGTCAAAGAATAATACCAAAAAGACATTAAAACACTTCTCCTTCCACCACCAGAAGTTATTTTCCAAATTTCTCAAATAATTGTCATGGCCATGAGGCCATCAATCATTATGATTATCACTTTTGAAAATCACAAAAACATTTCTCTATCTTTTGCCACAGGCCAGAAAATGAAATGGTTTCTCAAAAATAATAAATCTTCAACAAACCACACCTTTCTCAATTTCCACCTTCCCAATCAAGGTCTAAGGGTAAGATCGGAAGAAGTTTTTTGATGAATTTTTGGATGGCTAAGTCTACAGCTCGGTACATAGGATGTTTTCTTTTGGACTGAAATTTGCTGGTCTGGTCTGGTTTGGTCTGTTTAAGTCTGGTCTGGTCTGGTCTGGTCTGGTCTGTTTAAGTCTGGTCTGGTCTGGTCTGGTCTGGTCTGGTAAACGTCTGGTCTCTGTGTATTTTATAACTACGGAAGTCTGGTCTGGTCTGGTCTGTTTAAGTCTGGTCTGGTCTGGTCTGGTCTGTTTAAGTCTGGTCTGGTCTGGTCTGGTCTGTTTAAGTCTGGTCTGGTCTGGTCTGGGACTGAAAACAGTCCAAAAGAAAACATCCATATTCTAGATTTTATTAAAGTTGTATAACATCATAATACATGATAACATAACAGTTCAGTCACCCTTTGATTGGTTCTAGAAATATTTTATTCATCAACATAAAAACTAATGCCTCCAAACCATTCCGCTCCAAAACCTTTCAAAACTCTCCATCCTAAGTCTTAAAAGACCATAAAAAGATAATGTGAATGCCATCAAAAGGTACACATGCATAATTTATTCTGGAAAGTGGAATGAGAACATGGACCAACTTCTCAAACATGAACCAGAGAAGCAAACACGCACCAAATTTTGGAGCCATCCATTTGGGGCCTGACGTCGTTTGAACACTCGCCTCATGCTTCCTGCAGAACCCAACCTGATCTTTGGGTCGAAGGAAGGAAGATTATGTACCGCCATATAAGGTCGTTTGGGTAGGTGGCTAAGATCAGCATCATCTGAGTCAACAAATTCCTCATCACTTGAATCAACCATGCTTGGAAATGAATGAAATCCTTGTAGGGCAAACATATCTTTTAGAAGCTCAGTATCATTCTGGAAGCACATTAAAGCATCCGCTTAAATTATTTATTTACAGACTAATCTGATATCGGAAGCAAATAAGGTTTTCTGATATTGAGTCAAGATTCATCTAGTCCTGCATCTCATTCAACAAACTCTGGAAAGCAAAGACTATACTAAATATACTAGCACTGATATCAAAAGTGAAAATACATAATTGATAAATTCGTAGATCATTTCTATTCGCGCAAATTTTAGGAAAAGATGCACACATTTCCCTAACAGGAAAATTTTTGTTTTATGAGCCACATCACTATGTAAATAAAATAGGTCACTACTTCTGACATAAAATGACCTATTTTCTTGACCAAGCGAGTTGCAAACCTTAACTATGTGTCTGAAAAAAGAAAGAAAATTTCCTGTGCATACCTTATGTTGCATTTGAATCCTTTGAAGGCTAACTTCACTCTCCATAAGGTCTCGTTTTTTCTCTTCTCTCTGCAGGAAATTCAATGGAAAGTTTATGCAAAGTGGCACATATAATAAATATTATCTTCTTAATCCATTAGGAACATACCTTCACAAGAGTATCAAGAATGGACTTTGCTTGTTCAAGGTTGCGTCTAACCTGAAGATGGCATGTTATTTGTTACTCTCAACCAGCAACACAAGAATCAAAGTGCCTGACTATCTTCTGACAAGTGTGTCTCAGAAATAGTATCAATGCAAAAATACAGACAAGTATACAACTTATAGCTCCATAACATTTATAAGAGTGTCCTATGAAGTTTGATATGTGAGTATACAGAGTGCAAACATGACCCCCACACCTTTTCCAGGTCATACTATCTCCTTTACAGGTGTGTGTGTGCGCGTGTGTGCAACTTCTATTTCATTCAAATATGTTGACACCACATGGAAGGCAAAAATTGAAAAGATATGAAAGGAAGGAGAAACACCTACATAGGAAAAGCCTTCTGGTTCTTGTATTGAAGTTAAACCCACATAGAAAAGCATTTTTATTTTTTTATTGAAGTAGAAATGATATCAAATATAAACCAAGTACATGTATAGAGAGAAACAAAAAATTGGCATCCCAAATGGACATGAAGCTCACCTGGCGAAGCTTTTCAAAGGATTGAACATTGTTTTCCCTCCTTTGCATCTGGGATAAAAAAAGAAAAACAAAACAGAAATACAGAGATGATGAGCTCAGATAAAGCATTAACTAACTACGACAGCAAAATATTCACCACAAAGTGTACTAATGACTAATGAGGCACTCCATTCACATACCCTCCTAGTGTGAAGCCTGTGAGCCTTTTCCCTTGGTCTAAATACATTATATGGGTTAGTATCATTAACAGATGGAGGTGGCTGCAAAACAAATTAAGAAAACAGCAAAAATTGGATTATCAAGTTCCACTGGAGCAAAAGATTGAAACATTAAACAACATCGAGACCACAACTAAATAAATCACTGTTTTGCTGGAGGAAAACATGCAACAGATGCTGGAGAACAGATAGTATGGAACATGATTGTCAGAAAAACAACAATTTTGGTTTAATAGAGTCCATGGTCCCCACACAACTAACCTGCAAGCGCCGAAGAATGGGCTTCTGCCATCTTTCACGCTGATGCACAGAAAAATGAAAACCCCAACCAGATAAGATAAGATTGCATGAAAGTTGATTTCTCAGAAACTAAAAGAAGAGAAATATCTAAACAATCGACCTTGCGTTATGAAGTTAAGTTGGTTTTAGTTGTTATTTCTTACTTTTAACCATGATGAGAGAAAAAAATAATCATGACCACCATAAAACTTTGGCACTGCTTTCCATGAATTTATAGTGTTAACTAATTCAAGACAATTAATCAACACTATATATTTCATGCCACCAATGACCAACTCAAATGTAGTTGGGGTTAAGATGGCAAGTGGTGATGATGAACTACTGTCTGTATGATGTTTTCTCAAGAGTAAAACTATAACTATCACTATATTACATAAAATTAAACATGATACATTCACTTTTTATGAAACTCACATTCATACCTTTTCTTTCCAGTAGCTATAAATAGACTGGAAAACTCCATATGTAGTGGAAATAGATTGCAAAGCCTAGCATTTAAAAAAAACAGTGTGAATTAGTTGGCAAAAATGCATTATAACTTTATAAGGAATGGATTGGATTAAATACATTTCACAACTCCCACGTTCTAGCACAAGTATAATGTCTAAACCCATTACTCAACATTTAGCATGATTCAAAAACAACCTATGATAGAAAAGGTCTGGGTCTAGGCTGAAAATAAGGTAATAAACATAGTCCGTATTCTATATTAATATAGTTTAGTTCATATAAGACACTGATTGCAGAATGTAGTTTCTTCTGAGATAAAAGAATTGAGTACAACATCCAAGCCTTAGTCCCAAAAGATTTTGGGTCCGGCTATAGATAAAAGAATTGAGTAGTTTATGTAATTTGGATTATGAGCCAGACAAGACTTTCACCTCAACAGCAGCATCAAAACTAAGAAGCACAGGGATTGGTGAAGCAAAAGTAGGAGTAATTACTCCTGCTCTTTCACGAGCCTTATGATCTAAAACTTCGAGTTTAAACAGTATCATCTCAAGCCTGTAAGCAGAAATGTGACAAATTAGAGAAACAAATAAACCACATACCTAATGAAGTAAAACATGAAGGAGAAAGGGATAGATGCGGGAAGCTAACAAATCTTGTGCCCATGAACGTCATGGTAAATCTTTCATTTTCAGATTACCATAAACAAGAAAGAAGTCATGCGTATAACTCAATGAAATGAATATTACTCCCTCCGTCCCATTTTACCTGTCCTACTTTCCTTTTTGGGTTGTCCCAAAATAAGTGTCTTCTTTCCTTTTTTGGAAAGAAATATGTGGCCTACACCATTTCACTTTATTATACTCAAACTTCAACCACAACTTTTACTTTTTCAACCACTTCATTAATAACCGTGCCAGGTCAAACTAAGACACTTAAAATGGGACGAAGGTAGTATTTTTTTAAAAAGGGAAACATGGGGAATAAGTGTCCATGCTACAATAGTGTCATATAGGAAACAGAAAACGACCAGAAAAGAAGCCACACTACTTAATTATGTAGGGTCAGAATTTTTTTGGCACGATCAGTAAAGTTCTTTACAAAATAGAAGTTATTTAACTGAAGACACTGAAATAATTTAATAACATCCTTAAATAAATATTAAAGATCAAGGAGTTTAATGCTAACTACAACCAAGCGAGGACATAATGAGGTCTTTACTTTTCAGCTGGAAGGGCCTTTCTTTCTATGTTGAAATCTTGAAGCCAATCTTCGTCTTCATTATCAAGATCATACTCCACAAATTCCCCAAGCTCAGCTCGAGCTATAATAATTATTTTTTAGAAAAGAAAACCCTTTAGAGCTGAGAACTTACTGATATCGAAACACTTCTGTACTCTACATACCTCCCCTTGCATGTATATATGACGTTGGTTGGGCAAAATTGGGCAAATAATCGGTCTCATATGTATCTACGATGACAGACTCCGGAGTAGGTATTTCAGAAGCCAGTTTCTTGACAGAAACTTGATGTACCTAATAAACATGATAATATTTTATCAGCTCAATAATAAACAAAAAAAATATATAGAAATCCCACTAATTCCGAATTACCACCCACATTAATGCTAACTGTTTCATAACTAAGTGAAAGGCTTTCCAACAAACTAGATGAACTTTAAAAGACATTACATGCATCAAATACCGAAACCAAGTAAAAGAAAGTTATGTAAGAAGAGGTGAAAAAAGAAACTTCAGATGAAGCCAAGGAACCTCATTTTCTGCTGCTTCAGCTGCAAGGCGGAGAATCTGGTTGCGGGTATTAGAGGGAATCTCAATGTCATCATCGAAATCCTTGAAAGATTTGACTATAGGAAGCTTCTTGTTAAAGTCAAGTGGACGCGGCCTGATTGATAATCTACTCATGTTCTGCTAAAATGAGCTCATATCCAATCCAATACTTTAACCTAATTTCAATTCACCAATCTGCACACTGAATTAGAGAACACAACTTTGAATTCAAAAGAAAAGAAGAAGAAAAAGAGAGGTGAGCAAAAACATAGTACGTATATAGAGCCACACGAATTCTTAGGGAGTGTTCCCGGACTCTCGGAAAAGATACAAGGATAGCTTTAACGCGGAGGATAGCCTCGGATAAGTGCGGCCTTCGATAACTCTGCCGCGGCGGTTGATTCCCTAACAGAATAGGTTGGAAATTTTTTAGGCGGGTGCGATTAGGGTTTAGGCCGGAGCAGAAGGGGAAGCTACACCGCTGCCGGAAGATTTGAGACACCCGCCGATAGGTGGGGAAGGCGGGTAATTTTACGATTTGGTTGTCGTTTCCTAATTTGGATTTTGGTTCGGATAAGGGTTCGGATGATGATTGGTGGTGAGGTTCGGCTACAAGATTCCAATCTAGCTTCGACTTTTTGTCTTTTTTCAAAAAAAAAAATGATCAAATAATCTTTCTATTATACTCCGTATAAGTTCTAGTGACAAATATCTTGTGCTCTGATGGCATCATTGTGACACTTTCAATGAGGAAATCGGTTCGAATCTCAATCCAATTCAAGAATGTTGACATTAACATTGAGTGTCCAAAAATAAAAACGCAACATGTTGCCCTTTTGCACTGTTCATACGATATACTTTGATTACATTTTACACTATTATTTTATGGAAATTATTTTTTACAAAAAAAAATTATTCAATTCATCTCATTACAAATTTTCAAAATCTGATTTTTAATATTTTTTATTAACAGAGATTAAAATATACTTACGACCAAATATGTGTGTTGGCAAATGTGATAAGGTTGATTGTTGCAATTAAAAAAGAACGGAGGAAGTAATATATAAATACTACTATAATATTTGTGCTAAAACAAATATTATATAAGTGCTACTATAATAAAAGCGCTTATGCATTCGCACACGCGAAGAATTCAACTTTGTCACCGAGATAGCAGAGTCTAGGGTTATCGGTCGATAACCCTACGTCATTTATTTGTCCGCCTTCGATCTTCTGAGTGCGCGTCTTGGTTGGTTAGTTTGGCGGTGAGGGGCGGCCTAGGCGATTGGGTAGTTTGGGGGCAAGGGGCGGCATAGGTGATTGGTTGATTAGGATGGTGGTGGTCTTGGATTGGGAGTGGAGGCGGTGGGGTTTGGCTATATAATCGAGAGAGTCGGACATTGTAGCGGCAAAGCAACTCATTTTCTTTCATGGAGAGTGTGGTTGATAAGTACAAACGGATGATGATCGGCGATGAAGAGGCAGAAATCAACCTCGATGATGGAGAGGCCGAGGACGTCCCGACAGAGGAGTCGGCGGTGGGCTTTCCGGTGCTTGGGCAGGTACTGACCGATCGACAGGTTCGGTTCGTAGAGCTAAAAGAAAAGATGACTGCTCTTTGGAGGCCTGGAAAAGGTATGACGGTTAAGGAAATTGGGGAAAAGAGGTATCTATTTTCTTTTAATCATCGTTTTGATATGAAGAGGGTTATGGATGGGGGCCCTTGGCAGTTTGAGCGTAGTTTAGTTTTGCTTAAAGAGATTATGTCTGATGATATACCACATAAAATCATTCATAATGTTCCTTACAGTCTGGTAAATCTTGGCACTGCTAGACGGGTTGGGGTTTTTTAGGGGAATTTGTCAAATATGATGATCAGCAGAGAAAAGAAAAAATAGAACCTTACATGCGGGTTAGGGTTATTATGAAGATGGATAGATCATTAAAGAAGGGGACAAATTTGAAAAAAGATAGCAAGAGCTTCTGGGTGGACTTTAAATATGAAAGATTGCCCACCTTCTGCTTTATCTGTGGTATGGTGGGTCACTCGGATAATTTTTGTCCCCTAAATTATGAAGAAGGTTTGGTTTTGGAAAAAAGATATGGATCTCATCTTAGAGCAGGTAGTGGGGTGAAGACTAGCCCGACAGGAGGGCACGTTCGGTCCCTGGAGGGTTCATCAAGCTCTGGCAAATTGGGTGCTGGTCCAAAGAAGGAGGCGGGGACAGAATCCGCTCAAAGTTCCACACAAGGAGGGGGACGCCTAAGGAAGAAGCCTCAAAGAGAAGGAAGATCTGGGAAGTCCGGTCAGAGGAAGATCAAGAGGAGGATAACGGCCACTGATGGGGCAAAAAAACGGGGAGGTGGCGTGTTTAGTTCCTTAAGCCCGCCAAATATATTGGTTGAAGGCTTGAGGCCGAATGATGGTGGCCTGGTTCTTATCTCCTGGCAGCATGATGGTTGCTTGTTTTGGTGTTTTATTCTCTTTTTAGTTAATTTTAGAGTTTGTTGCTGGTTTTGTTTCTGGTTTAATGTTCTGGGTTGTAAGGCATTGGTTTTGGATGTGGGGGATGAAAGGAATTTGGTAACCAAGTTAGGCTTATTGTTTCCCGGTTATGGATCAGCGAATTATATTGCTACTGCGATTAATCTCGAGTCTGGTTTGAGGGATGACGGTTATCTTTTTTCTCTTTGTCAGTTGACCCATAGTCTGAACTTTTATTGGTTATTTATCTAAGCCGATTTCTGTCAAAAAAAAGGCGCTTATTTTACTCATTTCATTTTTTCAAACCTTGATCTATACTTCACCCTAAAAAATAATCCATAAAATAGAAAGCTGAAAAAATGACCAAAAGTGTGAAAATTTATGAGAACTACTAGTAAAAAGAATTGGCCGAAGCAGAGGCGCTCAAAAAAACTGTCAACCTGTCTCCACCCTTTTTAGACCAATAAATGGACTTGTCCACCCCTATGTGTGGCAAGCATATGCATGGTGGTGAAAACTCAAATTTTACTCATCTCAACTCAAGAGTAGGGGTGGACTCGGGCCGGGCAGCCCAACCCGGAACCGGCCCGGCCCGCCCACTGTAGCAACCGGCCCGGCCCGGTGCCCCGGCCCCCGGTCCAACGACGGTTCAGGTCGAACCGGCCCGGTGGATACCAGTTCCGGGCCCGGGCCCTCCATTTGGTGAACCGGCCCGGCCGGTTCGGGCCCGATCCGGGCCGGATTTTTTTTCTTTTTTTTTTTTTAATTTTTTTTAAGTTTTGGGTTGGATTAGGTATTTTAGGCCATTTGAGGTGGTTTTGGGTGGTTTGGGGTTGAGGGAGAGGGATAGGGGGTTAAATAAGAGAAGCAAAAAAAAATATTATGACCCGGGTGGCCCGGCCCGGAACCGGCCCGGAACCGGGAGCCACCGGTTCGGGTCCGGGCCCTCCTTTTGGTGAACCGAAGCCCGGCCGGTTCAAGGCCCGAACCAGGCCCGCCCCGAACCGAGTCCACCCATACTCAAGAGGTTGGGGAGAGTTTTTGAGAATTCAAGATTAGTCTAGCGAAATCAAGATCTAAAAAAAAAACTCGAAACGTGTCACAATCTTTTTTGACGAAACGTAATGTAAATATTTTCATATCACTTTATTTAGTTTATTACAATTTATTTACAACAATCTAAGTCACTTATATAACAATAACATTAGAATTATGATTGATTAAACACTGATGTAATAGAACTTGAACATAATAGTATTGTAATTTGGCGCCATAGCTAAAGAGCAATTTAGGTATGTTAACAGTAAGCACAAAATACCCATTGCTACTTTTGACACAGAAAAAGGTAAAAACGGCAGCCACTAGTTTATATGATGAACTACCAAAAAATGAACTCTTCTGAAAAAAAACACCACTCAAGCTTTAGCTGGGGGCTAATGGTATGTATATGTGGATCAATCCTCACTCCTATACTGGCTCCATATATCTTCGTCTACCTCTTCTTCCTCCACCTCTTCAGCCACATCAGTTTGAACTTGAGTAACAACATCTTGATCTGTATCTTGGACTTCATTTTCCACTATAGTGTTCTCCACCTCCATTTCTTCTTTCTGCCCCTGACAAAAAGCAGCAAATGGTGTGAATCTAGACGTAGTTGATAGAAACTGTCTTTTGAACTATGAAAGTATGAAACAACTATAGGGCTTGTTTGGTTGGGAGGTTTTGAAGGGGAGGTATCTGAGGATTGTGGGGAGGTATCTGAGGATTGTGGGGAGGTATCTGAGGATTGTTCTTGTTAGTCATAGGTATACGTTTTGTTAAACCAGATCTTTCCAAATTCTATTTCATCTCTTCACTTCCTTTGCAACTATCTGAATCTAAAAACATACATCAAACAAATAAATATGACACCATCCCTTCTAATGGGGGGGGGCATTAGTCTTATCCCAAAAGTAATTATTCAATTGCATAATTTAAACACCACCAACTTTTTACTCTTCCCAACACATAACTTTTTTAGCATTCTCATTCAAAAGGGGAAACCAGTAAGCTAACTGACAACCATTATTTTCTTTAAAAAATGTGCCAAACCTAGTTGTAGCTTCAATGATGGAACAGGGAGGGAGTAACATGACGAATCTCACATTAACAACTTGAGCTCCAAAAGTCCCCCCCCCCCTCCAATGCTGCATGATATATAAAATACCTGGAGGTAAATAGTAAAACACGTGTCAGATAGAGGAAAAAACCAACCTCCTCTTCATCAGTCAAATCAACAACTGCATCTAAGTCATCATCATTTTGGTCTCCCTCAGCTGCAATTTCTTTCAAGCGCTCAATGACTTGCTCAAAGTGGGAATTATCTGCAAGGTAATGCTTGTTTGTCATATAAACTTGCATACATCAATTCACTAACAGGCAGATTTCAATAATTGTAAATTTCGCATTTTTTTCAGTGGTCATGGTAAGGATTGTTTCAGTCCCATACGTGTCTCATTTTTCCATGCACGAAACCAAAACAAACTTTGCTCTATCCATCAAGGCATCAACAATGGTCTATCAGTTCAATCGCAGGTGTTTAATACGTCAAAAAGTATCATAGGATAGTTCATTAAATAGCATTAGTTAACAAGCTTGGAAAGATCGCTTCCATACTATATTTATTAGCAGAATTTACTTGGTTGTGGCCAAATTTCCAAGAGCAGGAATATAACAAGAGCTTAGTTACATTTATAGTTCTTAGAACATAAAACAAACCAGTATTTACAGAATATCTGACCGATTAAAGCACTTAATTGTAAATTTTATAGATCTCAAGGGCTACTTGAAAACTTGACAGTTCATCAGAGGTTGGAAGATGTAGTTAACACTAGTTTTTATGTTTTTTGCGACTTTTTTCATCATTGAAACAACTTATGTGCCTACAGTTCGTTCGTACTTCAAGTGTATTAAAAGTTTCTCCCAGACAAGTTGACACCAGAGACTAGAGAGCATATATAATTTATGTTTTAATTACCATTCGCACGAGTAGTTAGAGCATCGAGAACTCTTGATGGATACCGCTGCTCTTCTTTCTTATACTTCAGTCTTACCTGTGTGCGTGTCCGCCCAGGAAAGAGTTGTTGTATCATCGAGAAATCAGAACCAAACTGCCGTATGGCCTATAGATGATGAGACACATCTGAAGTTATAACCATCTCTTTGTTAAAACTATAACAATTATGTATCTTTAATTTTAAAAGTATACCAATGGTGTAACTTTTTTACTAAATTATAACAATGTATACCGTTAACAGCTATTATAAGATATGTGATGCATGTATACCTCATAGAACAGTTCTGTGTCCGCTTTAGACCATCGGGCTCTGGTTGGTTTTTCCATGTATGTATGATAATTATAGTAGAGAGTAGTATCCTCCGCCACAGCCCTTTCTTGTTCCCCAAAAGCTTCTGCATCATTATCTCCATTAAACGTAAATGCCTCCTCTTCATCGTTCATTTCAAAAGTACTATTACCAACACTGTTGAGATAAAACTTTGCAATCACAATCATGCAATTATGATATTAATATTTAGGGAAAATTACTATTAGCCCCCCGAGTTTATGTCATAATTATTATTGCAACCTTGCATTTTCAGAATTCAATTGGTTACCCCCTGAGTTTTGGTCATTCTCACTATATGCCCCCTCATGTTAATATTTGTTAAATTAAATTAAATTAAATATAACTCTTAAATTCAATGTAAGTTGTCTATAACATAATTTATTATCATAATTCTAAGTCTTGATCGTTATTTTTCTACTTAGTTACTCAATCGTGGAATAACTATTAATGTGAGTAGTTAAGGGGGAGATTCACGAGTAATATTCACGAGTAATATTCATGGGATACATCAAAGAAAGTTATTTAAAAAATCTGTTGCCAAAATTATAGGCACTTCTTCATCATTAATATAAAAGTATTTGAAATTCATCCGGTTGAATCATTCTCAATGACATTTTTTTCATGTGCAGCAAAGAAGAAATACCAAGAAAAAAGGAATTCCATCATTTCATGACCTAAAAGATAGGTCAAGCATCAATAAGCGACCTAAAATATAGAATGTATCGGTATAGGAGCTAAATAATGGAAAGATATCAATCTAAGACCTAAAATAACATAGATTAAGATTTATTTAAATATTTTATTTACTCTATTACTAATTTGTGATTATTCTATCTTCACAATTTTTTACAGTAAAAAGTTTATTAGTTTTATAAGATTGTATGATATTAAATTTTCTAAAATAGATTATCGAAATTCATGATATTTTATATCTTACGTAGTACTTGTGAGTATTCTCCCTTAACTACTCTCAATAATATTTATTTCACAATGGAGTAGCTAAGTAGAAAAATAACGATCAACAATAATGAATTTTAAATACGATAATAATTCCTGTTTTAATTTAAAAATTAATTTTATAACCAATTTTCATTGAATATAAGAGTGATATTAAATTTGATATTTTGATTTAACAAATATTAACGTGAGGGGTAAAGAATGAGAATGGTAAAGAATGAGAATGATCCAAAGTCCAAACTCAGGGGGTAACTAATTGGTTTTTGAAAATGCAAGGTTACCTTCATAATTATGACATAACCTCAGGGGCTTATAATAATAATCCCTAATATTTATATGAAACTAAGAGGCTCATATTTCTCTAGATGGCCTCTAAATATAGGAACACCATATCTATTACCTTGTGGTTACTTGTGGGGTCTGGGATGATGTTGGCGCTGCATTTTTCTGCAATGAAGAAATAAAATTAGACAAAATTGGAAACTAGTCCATTTTAATGTCCACAAATGAACTAAGAAAACCACTGTTTCTATTTCAACTGGGAGCTGAGGATAGGTTTCTAGAAAATCCTAGAGAAGTCTTAGAAGGCAAGAAACCCAAAAAAAAGTACCGCCACACGCTCCTTGTGCTCTGCAAGCAATATTAGATCCTTAATGGGCACTCTTTGGAAATTAATTTCCTCCTCTGGAGTTTCCAATAAAACCTTGTCCACTGCAAAGACAAAAGAATCTCTGTGAATAAAGGACTCATGTAAAATATTCAAAAAAATCAACAACTATCAGTCTTACATGTCCTCTTCTTTTGACGAGTTGAGTGAGAAAACTTCTTGGGCTTTTCTTTAGTGGCCTTTCCAGTTTTGTCGTTAGCTTTTTTACGCTTTTTACCATGATTTTCTTCACCATCATCAGTCTGTTTCATTGACGTTTTCCGTGCTCTTTTCTTTCGGGATTCATTTTCTGCCTGGAACTCCTCATCACTGTGTTCATTCTCATTTAGAACGGAGCTACCAGAATATCCAGGTAAAAAGTCCTCATCAGAATTTGGTATTTCTTCACTCTGTGAAACATCAGCGGTAGGTTCTGTGGGAGCAGTGTGATCAAATCCTGAAGACGGGACATTGCTAACATCATCTGTATCAAATGTAGGAGTTCTAGCTTTATCCACCAAGTCAATATACTCGGAATCTTTTGCATTGGAATGAGGAATGGTAGTCTCAACGTTCTCCGTGAACACTTGTACCTTGGGCTTGGGTTGGAATTTTCCTATGTGCACGCAATAATTTGAAAAGAAAAAAAAACATAAAGAAACCTTGGTAAATTATAAACTGGAACACGGAAAATGGTAGGGAAAGGAAAACAAAAGATCAGGAAACTCGTGTTTTAATGTTCATTTCAGGGTTTCACCTTGGAAAAGACTAAAACTTTTTAAGATTCTACACAACGTTAGATTTCTTAGACTTGGTACGCAATAGGAAACTATAAATTTGAAAAAAATATCTAAATTTGATTTATTAAGGCTCTATTTAAAGCAGCTGGTGGTGCGTCCCTAGCTCTTTCTAAACTAATCATCCTCTCATTCTAACCGCAACTAACTGCAGTGCTTACATTTTGACTTGAGTGCTTACTCCGCCCATTACATTTAGGTGCAATTTATTTTTGACTTGATATCAATTATTTTGGGATTGATCTCAACTGTGAGGGGCACGCTCCAGTGAGTAGTTGCGTTTAGTCTTACCACCATAACAACTTTTTCTTTCACAGACCACCTTAAGTTCAGCCCTATTCTGTTTTTTCCCTCTCAAATTTTCTTTCTTCACAACCCCCCCCCTCTATTTCTGTTCTTTATTTCTTTTCCTAGCATCATTCGCTTTCAAAACGCACTGTAAGTAGAAAGTTAAAAAAAAAGTCCTACCGGACACAGTAGATTGCTCGAGCCCATCTGAATCCAAGCAAGGATATGCCTCAATCTCCTGCTACCATCAATAACCATGTTCGAATTAAAAAAAGTGTAAAGAAAGCAATATAACTACCAAGTGAAATTCTGATGGAAGGTTTTGGAGGAGAAGACATTGGAGGACATACTCTGTATCCAAGTGAAATGCATGTGTCTATAAACCAAATAAAAGGTGATCAAAATGTTATTTGATCGCCTATTATGTTTTAAGTTCAACTTCTAATAAAACACAAACACCACATACATATGAAGACTACAGCATCCCAAACCCTCCATCCAAACAGTTCCCAAAGTAATTACTTCCCATGTATACAGAAAATCACCTCTGTCCCAAGATCTATACTATCAATCTGAGAAACTCCCTCACAAGTTGCAACAGCAGGTTCTCCACAAGAAGTGAAATCTTGAGCTGCAGGCGGTTGAAAGCTACCAGCAACATCAGGGATATTTGGCGCCTCAGAAGTTGGAATTAAATTCTCTGCAAGAAAAATAATTGAAGCACAAAACTATGTCAGCGTAAGGAATTCCAACACTAGTAGTTGCCAATGTTAAACAACAAGTCTAAAAAAACCATAGTACCACTTTATTAGTCTATGAAGTTTGTAAATGCATATCACCTTAAGTTTTAAGTTTTACTTTCGTGATATAATCCCTTATATAGTTCCTAATAACTTTTAACATATGAAGATAAGCCTTCATGCTCTTGTGCATTAAAAATATGAGTTAATATTATTCTTTCATTTAAAAAAAAAACATTCACTCACCACTTAAAAAAAGGCTAACAAGTATTGCTACATCATAGGTTGCCAATGATTCATGTGCTTTTGGGTATAAATAGTGATGGAACTATGGAAGCAGGGGAGATGCCCAGAATGGCAGAATATAGTGCATAGCTGGCTGTCAGATTTTTATCCTTTGAGAAACAAGTATTTTAATATTATATTATCATTCAACTAATGTTTCTACTTGGTTGTAAAGAATGAATATATGTTATATTACAATTAGATGCTGGAATCGTAATGGAGGGATAATCTCATTGAAAATTACTCATTTTGCAGAAATATCGAAAAGGTGAAACTAAATGCTAGCTAGTCAAACTTATTAGTTTTTACACTCAAAATTAGGTTCGTGCTGGCCTAGCCTATTATTTGAATTTTCGATCACATTCCTTGGGAATCAGACTCAAGTCTAGAAATACTAATTCCTTTTTGTTTGACATTATATTGCAAACACAAAACTGGACTATATGCAATATTGCAATCCTTCTCAGAACCTATTTCCAACAACAACAACAAAATAGAAGAACTAACTAACTAAAGAAGATAACTTGTTAATCACCACTTGGGTCTTCATCTCTGACACTTCCCCATATTCTTTTGTACTCAGTCTTCACTATGACACCCTAGATTTGTTCAAGAGTTGCAATACATTATAAGATTTAGTATATTTTTCTGCAAAACAAATGATAAATAAAAGGTCCAGAAAGCAGACTGCAGTAGTATACAGTCAAATGGCGCTTATTGAATTGATGCCTTTGATATTCCCAGATGATCATTAAATTAATAACCAACCAATAAATATTAATAACTAACCTATAGGTGATGGCTGTACATCCTTGGGAGCTGCAATCTTTCGACTATCAGCATTACCTGATTGAATAGTCTGTGATGAAGATAAAGACTGTGTGGAAACGGTTCCCCTATGTACTGGACGGGCCTTCACTTTAGGTTTAAACTTGCTGGCTGCCCTTGCTGCAATCAAGCACGTCATAAATACATTGTGTTACTCAATCCAAATTGTAAAAGAACTGGGCTTGAAAAGACGCAGGTTTCAAAGACTAACCTGGTTTTGCTGCACCATCATCAAATAAGTCATCTAAAAGATCCATCTATATTTCCTATAAAAAATAGCAATTTAAACACTGTACAATAAGGTGTTAAAGAATAATGCGAAAAATAGAAGAGTCGCATCCATGCAACTGATGCAAGTAGGCAAATACACATAACTTGTCCTTATGTTGCATGGATACAGATATGATACCTATCCAAATACTAGGTACAGTTTTTTTATTTTGTAGTTTGGGGGTTGGGGACTTATATAGGGCATTATATTATATACTCCCTCCGTCCTAAACCTAAGATCCAACTTTCCTTTTCGGGATGTCCCAAAATTAAGTTTCCACTATATTTTTAGAATGTTTTTAATGTAAAACTACCAATTTACCCCTCTAAAATACCCCCTAACCCCCGACCCAGTCTTTCCTTCTCCCTCTCCAGTTTATATCCCCCTACGGCCCTACCCTTCTTCTCTCACCCTTTCCACACTCCCAAACTCCCGGTACCCTTCTTCTTCGTCGGTACTTCTTCACTGCAGACAAGATCCGACCTTAGAGGACCACAAAGGTGCTACAGCTCAGTTCTTTGCCTGACCAGATTCGAACTAGAGGAACTGCAGCGGCACCAAGGGGAACCAGATTCCGACGATGGCGATCTGATAAATGGCAGCGGCGCCAGTGTGCTCGTAGATGGTCGAGGTGTCTCTTCGTATTCGAACTTATGACGATTTGCTATCCTTGGTTCATCTTCTTCGAGTTTATGGTGATTAGCTATCCTTGGTTTTATATCTCTGAAATGCAACCCCAATATAACTTATGTTGTTGTTCTTTGAGTTCGAATGGGGATCTGAGGCTGCTACAGTAGCTACTCCTAGGCTATTCTAACCCTTTAATATGCTAAGGGCATAATTGGAAAGCCAACTTAAGTAATATTTCTACCTAAAAACCTGTGAAGTCAAACTGGGAACTTGATTTCGGGACGGATAGACTAGAGAGTATTAAAGGAATAAGGTTCAAAAATGACATCAAGGTTATTTACGAAGTTCGGATAAGACATTAAACTTTTAAGGAGACCAAATGAACACATAATCAACTTATTTCAGTTATATTTGGCCACCCACTTATAACTCTATTAAATGCGCTGTTAACCACCCACGCCTCTATTGTCAATTCTTCCCTTGCTTAGTCAACTCTACTTCTCTATTTCACTTCCTCCATCCCCAAACAAACCCACCCTTCTACGCATACGGCCTGTCTCCAATCCTTTGCTATCCTCTTACTATCTTGATTCTTCAATTTACATCTTGAGTTCTCGACATCATACCCGTTGAGCCCTCGAAGCAGTCCCAGGCTCCCAGCCTCACCTTCTCCTTCCACCCTCGTCGTTCCGTTCTCCGCCAACAGCTGCTTTCATGGAGTAATCTTCTAGCAGAGCCCAAGACAAAAAGTGTGTTCGCATTACATTCTTCTATTACGCTAGATTGAGTCCAACCATATCATTATTTCCCTCCAAAATGAATGAAAATCATAGCTTGACAATCAATTCACATATATTGTTGTTTCAAAACAGTGGGCGGAGAAAAATTACCACAAGAAGGATGAACTTCCCAATCTAGGCCAACCAAGTTGAGTTAATTCACAAACGACAAGGATTTTGGTCAGTCAATTGCTCCTTTGCTACTGTTTGCATTGATCTATCCAATTGCCAGTGCAGGTTGTGGGTCTTGTAGAGCTCTAGGTCTGCTGGCCAGAGTCCAACTGGGTTTTGGTCGAAGAGGGAAAAGGTCTATGTGTGGGATTTGAGTTTTCAGAAGACTTGGCTGAAAGCTTCTGATTTGGGCGAAGACTTCTGATGAAGTCTGTTCTACCCGAGAAGAAATGAAAGCTGGTGCTGAATTGGGTTTCGGGGGAAGATAATTGACGAGAACGGCCGTTAATTTAAGTACGTAATGAGTGTTCTTATATGACATAAAAACGTATAAATTGTGTCAATTTGGTCTACTTAAAAGTTTAATGTCTAATCTGAACTTCGTAAATAACCTTAGTGACATTTTTTAGCCTTCTCCCGAGTATTAAATTATGTGAAACTTTACAAAAACACAAACAATGAGCATTTAAACCAGCTTAACAAGTAATAAAAACAATAAGATGGAAAAAACAGAGCACCAATAGCCCAAAAGGATAAAACTATATAAAAACTGAAGAAGACAGAAATTAAACAAATGATGAAAAATAAGAATTCCATGTAAAGTACAACAGTGAAAATGAGAAAATAAAATACAGTAAGTAATCATCACATACAATTGTCCCAGTTTCCATAAAAAATGACCGATGAGCTAAATTGGTAGTAATCAAGTCAAACACGCGAAAAGCGAATCGGATGGGCATGCCTCATGAAACATAGGTGCAATTTTCTTATGGAAATTTCATACTATTTGAGCATGCCATATTTTCTTAGATGTTTTCATACTATTTGAGCATTTTTCCTATGGAGATTTCCAATGCACACGTGTCACTAATTCATTGTCTTAGATATTTTTCTTGTAGCCAAGCCTTTTATTTTGCTTATAATACCACCTTCCCATACGAGGCAAGCAGGTTCCCAATCATTGCGTGTAATGTTATTCTGCAAAAACTAATACACATCTTCCTCACTCTAGAATCGCTCTAACTTCTTTCTAGCTTCACTCTACTCAGGTTACTTAGCCCATCATATACTGTGATTACTATCACCAAACAGAAAAACCCATAATACAAATACCATAACTAGCCAACTTTAATGGCCTGTTTGTTTGGGGGTTAACCTAGGTTATTGAAGGTTCAATTTTTAGTTAACCCCGTTTGTTTATGTTTTTGCAACAAGAACCTAGGTTATGACTTAACCTCACATAACTCCCGAGAACCTCGAAACACCTCAAATTGGAGAACCTCCGAATCGGGGGGTTCGGAGGTTAAGTTCCCGTTCAACATAAAATAAACTAGAGTACCTTCATCCAAACAACATTTATGACATTAACCTAGGTTCACCTTATTTATTTCCAAACACCATTGTACGCATGAACCTGAGTTCACTTAGTTTAACCCAGTTTTTATTAAAACTTAGGTTTACTTTATTACACTAGGTTTACTTAAGTTCACTTCATCCAAACAGAGCATAAGTATCAAAATCTCATGATGAAATAGTCAAACAATCACAATAGAAACGAAACAATCTTCATATGCAAAAGTTCACAACTAACTAAACAATGAAAGCACATAAACAATCAACTAAAACTACATAAGAATGCCCAAAATAGTATTCTACTATGTTTCCCAGAGGTGCACAGAAGTCAGAACGCACTTAGGAGAAAACCATTGAAAGTTCACAAAAGCATGTAAAGCAAAGACAGTTGGCACCGCCCCATGGGATAATAGAAAAAAAAAATAGTTTGAGAATCAAATTGCCGATAAAGAAGATGCGAGGGTCGTTTCTGGTTTGAGGGAAGTGTCCGCTCAGTAATTACATTTAATTAATAGATAAATAGATTTACACCCACGACTTCAAAGAGGAGAGTTTAAACTAATAAAACCCCTAAGGCCATAAAGATTAAACTAGAAAATATCACCTCTATAAACTAAAAAACATACGGAGTAAGTACTAACCCACGATAAGACCTGAAAAGCTGAGAACTTTACATGCTGGGAGGATGGGCACCATTATAGTCTTCAACCTTTACTTAATCTTCAAATATTTCATTCTTTTTTTCCCAAACATATTTTTGTTTCAAGTACAAAAATGTCTGAAGAGAAAGGATGTTCTTATAATCTTATTGAAACGCATAGTGGCAGAATGGGGGGGAGAGTGGTGAGGGTTTACCGAACCTCCCTTACGATAAAAGTAAAAATAAAGAAGTTAAAAAAGCACTCACAACCTACCTTATTGTCAACAATCTGAGCCGACTGAGCGACCGAGCCTCTGGCGTGGGCGACGGGCAAAGTCGAAGATGGACCAATGGCGATGCGGCGGAGTGGCGGTGCGGCGGAGTGGCGGTGCGGCGGAGTGGCGGTGCGGCGGTCTGATAGGGCAGCCTAGCGGATGATAGGGCGTATGGAAAGCTGCTGGCGCAAGCTCGAATCCCGCAGACAACCTTTCTCCTGGTTTTTGGAGTTTCGCGGTTATGGGCTGGGACGGTTTCGCTTGGGTTTAGGCGGTCACCGGTTATTTCCGGGTTTGGCTATATTAACGGTTTAGTAGTTAACCGGGTCGGATGATTGACCGGGTGGCCGGTTTCCGGGTCGGACCGGCCGGTCCGATCCGATTCTTTAAACAAAGCATAGCTGGACTGGGCCAGACTATTTTTCACTAGGCCATTTAGTATAAACTTTTTTAAGAGAAATTTATTGACTGGAACTTGGTCGGGCTACTCCACTTCAAGTGTTTATAGGTGGAGTTTTTTTGTGTGGAAATATGTGATCATCTTCTTCATGAATTGTAGATATTGTTCATCAAATTTCAGCTTAAAATTCAATCGGGAAATAAGTTAAATAAATTATTGAAAAGTATCGGGCAAAAACATATGGAAAACACAGTTTTGAAAGATTTATTTAATTTACTTTCTGTTTAATCTTTGAATACAAATTTTTTGGACATAATCTATATTTTGTGAAAAATATGCTCACAAAATTTCATCAAAATACTTTACCCGGAAGCACCTCAAATGAAGGTGGCCAGAGAACGTTCCAGTTAGGAAATTCCCGACAGGATCATTTGTATCATTTTTTACTTTTTTCTTTTGAAAATCATCATTTTTAATATATATAATACAAAAAAGGAATTCTAAAATAGCCACCAATTTTCTAACTAAACTCACATAATTGCCATACAAAATGTATTACCTTCATCTCATAATCCTTGTCCAACTTTTCTTTTTTTGCCGTCCCAAAAAACTTTGTCATTTCTATTTAAAGTAATTAATATGTGGTCAAAGTTATTTCTTTCTCTTATGCACAAATTTCAATCTCACGATTTTTACTTTACTATCTTACATGCAAATCAAGTTTGGTCAAGATCTATTGTTGGGGAGTATTATTTATAACTCCTATTGTATGCGTATTAAAGAAAGTAACACAACATCAGCATATAATCCAATGATATTTGAAGACCGTCGTTTCAAGAAATAGGGAGAAAAGTTTAGCATAGATGTATAAGAGGAGAGAAGCTCCCTTTCTCCTTCCAACAAATCGAAAGCAAATCGACATCAATCTTAAATATGTGTACTTCATATTGTATAAGCTAATATATATGTCTATGGACATGCGCATACATATATCTGTGTCTCAATGTATGTGCAACTATAAATTTTAACTCCTTTATTGTGTGTGTTATATATGATTTTGAGAGTAAGGGTATGCTTGCGAGTTTAAAGGGGGGGAGGAGGTTTTGAGGTTTAGTCATAGCCTCATAGGAGAGGAAGGCGAGGGGAAGGAGAGGAAAACTTCATAAGTTTGGAAAGATAAAGATTATAAAGAATTTATGATTAAAATCACTTATATTGTGGGCAATAACCCAAGAACGTCATAGTCTAGGAGCCCAAACTATGTGACTGGATAAATCACCCTCTTCGTAATTTAGCTTATATTCTTTTTAACTTGAGCTACAACTATCATCATTTAAATATATTTCATCAAATCCCCCCCCCCCCCATTTGAAGGAGTTTGAAGGGTTTTGCAGGGTCAAAAGAACTCTCCATAATCATTCCTTATCAATTTTAAACTCCCAAACAAGAAAGGCGGGGTCACAAACCCTCCTAATTCTTCTCTTCACCTCTACTCCAAAACATAGCTCCCAAATATACCCTAAGGGTACATGCACAATTGCATCAGAAATTGTGGACATCTATATGTAACACACATTATTAAGAAGAACCATCATTTTTAAAATAGATGATAATATTGTACATTACCGCTAATAGATTATTGACATTTAAAATAATGATGAAATTTTATGACACATTATATACCATGAGAATAATACTGTGAAAGAATGGTGCAAGAGATGGCATGTATGTTTTAGTGGAATTGAACCACTAGACCTCGCGAGTTGCCCGCTTAGCTACGTTATGGCTCAGCTCCAATAGTTCTCACATTAAAAATACACTAGCACACATATAAATATGACAATAGAATCATGGACAACTCATGCAAGTAGATAATTGTGAAGCAATATGGCTAGTCGATCGCCAAAGATAAGATTTGTAAATATGAGATTGATGATTCTGATAGTGTGTATATATATATATATATATATATATATATATATACACATATACATATATATATATACACACACACACACATAAGAATGACAATGTCACACCCCTGATTGCATCTAAGCGCGTGTAAAACTGTTGTATGATCTAGTGACGTCACTCGCAAGTCAACCTCACTTAATCATACAAGGCATACATGAACATAGTTCATACAATACTCATTAAGTAAACATACATAACAACATCACATTTAAACCAATGAATAATGGAAATATTCAACGGTAAGTCATGGGCCACATCCGGCCAAAACATGGGCTCGCAGGCCCAAAATAGTTTATAGTAATTCAAATATCCATAAGCAAGTGTTTTGAAATTTTGAAAGAAATAAAGGAGCACGAACCACGTCTTCATTGAGTTGACTTCACTCGTATGAAGGTGCAGGTAGCAAGCCCTAGCTTCAACCTGAATATGGTGTCCCCCAGGGGTCAGTACGTGAATACCGAGCGAGCAGCAGGCTAAATGTAGAATAACTAACGTTTCAAGTATAAGACCCAAACATATTGTCATACATATACTTATATTCTCTCCCCCCCCCCCCCCCGTCTTGAAATACATATGAGTATACACTTGGAAAATACCCGACCCGTGGGTCATTGTTTATTTGGGAAAATAATAGTAGTCAACATCCTTGACTAAAAAACTTAACCCACCCATCACCTGCGAGTGTATAGGCTAGGACTCCTCCTGTCCAATCAAGTATTATATGGACACCACTTGGTCCTGAATTACTAAGCCGTAATCTATGAGTTTTGAGGACAGTCCAGTCCCTGGGTATGTTCTCCACCATTTATATACCGAGTTTTGAGGACGACCCAGTCATTGGATTCTCCACCATTTATATACTGGGTTTTGAGGACAGTCCAGTCTCTGGGTACTCGCCAATATGATCTACTACATATCGTACATAGATAGGGTCTATATCATAATCATTATCAAGACTAAACCAAGTCTTATAGCATAAGCATATATAACCGTCCATGCAAAACCATGCAATAAAACAACATAGGAAAAAATCAGCACCAAATTAACGTCGGTTCTCCTCTGACCGGAGTTGGTTCACCATTTATTTGTTTAACTGGGTTACCCCGTTCTCACATCAGCACCGGTTATAGCCAAACCGGCGCTGGTCCACTGTCTTCTTCGCGGTCAACGGCCAGTTGACCGCCTGAACCAACTTTATTAATCCGAAACTTAATCACAACGTGTATTAAGTCTTAAAAAATCATTATTTGCCATTTTGGCCATTCAAAACATCACATATGTTTTTATAACATTTTTATATCATTTTCATGCATATATTTATAGTTCATTTCATATAACCTAATCATCTTGGCTAATCTAATGCTTAAACTCTTTTAAACATCATTATGAACACATACAATATTCACTTTGTGACACCACACCCGAACGTCCGTGAAAATTCAATTTAAAATTCAAAGTTTATGTATTGAATTTCCAATTACCAAACAATTGTAAAAAGTTTAATGTTTTACGTAGTGCATGATTGATTATTGTACTGTTCGAACTCGTATATTAGTGATGGGCTTACAAATACTTATTTGGGCCATCTTAATAAATATAAGAGCCCAACATTATCTGAATAATGATACATAACCTTTCGATACGAATTAAGGAAGGTCGGGCAGCCCAAACACTATTTTGGGACCAACCTGCTAAAAATAGTAAGTATTCAAGAATGACATCCTAGGCCCACTCGAGGGTGACCCACACGTCTTGTATCCCCAGAATATAAATACTAATGTCATAAATAAGTGATAGGATGATTAGAAAAGAATACAAATGTATATGGTCACATCCTTGACATTGTTGAGCTAAATAATGGGAGTAAGTTTTCATCTATAATTTTCATCATATAAATTATTGGGATGATCGTGCACATATTAGAGATCAATAATATGATGTAGAAAGTTGACTTGTTCTAAATAAATTAGAATGAGTACAAAAAGTCATCTTTTGACAAAAGATAAAACAATATAACCCATCTTTCCACTTTTGGATGTATTGGTTGATATTTTGCTCCCAAAATAATCGGGAACACTAAGGTGCATCCCATATCTTCTTATCACCTGCAATACAAGAGAAATAATGTTAGGGGGCGGCCATATATGACTTTGGGGGCTGGACTTGACAAAGAGATCAAAGGGGGAGGACCCACCTTGTCAATTTTCGCACAAATCATGGGTGTGATTTGTCTCCCTCCATAATGGGAGTTGTACTCATCCAAATGAGGTGAATAAGGTGTCCCTGGATATCCTTTGAAGTCTAGTTCATTATTGAGTGGTTGCTGAGTGATAAGAGAGAATCTTACAGACGATAATCGAGGTTGAGTGAACTGCTGCGTATAAACTCGAGCAATGAGAGTGTTGGCCTTGTTTGGTTCTTATCTAGAGCTATAATCGTCCAAATAAGGCGTGTGAGGTTTCAAAAGAACGCTATAAAGATAAGAAATCCGTCAAGTTCTGGTTTGCATCAAACGGAGTAGTGGAAGGCTTTCAAATCGTCCGAACAAAACACAAACGTGCAGGGACAGATTTACTTCTCTAAAGTGAGTTTTAATCCGAAAACCTTTCTTTTCGTTTCCCATATGATATAAATGATTGGTGGAACTATTATACACTATTCTAAGTGTATAACATGTTCTTATAAGGTTATTTTATTGATGTAAGGGTTAGATACTAACCTAGAGCAAACCTTGGAAAAACTAGGAATCGAGTTCGCCAGGAAACACCCATTCTAGGGGCTGTTTTCATATCAACGGTTAGGGGTTGAACTAGCACTTTGAGGGGGCTGTTTAACACTCATTTCTAAGCAAGGAATCAGCTCTCA